ATGTGCTTATCAAACAGCATGGTTATTTTATTTAATAACATCATCATTTGCAACAGCAGCTAATATTCGTATTGGTCAATTTTTAGGTAGTGGAAAACCGATGGAAGCAGCAAATACAAAAAATGTGACATATGCCGTTGGAGCAATTGTTATTTTAATGGATATATGTTTAATTGTTAGTTTTCATTATTGGTTTCCATTTGCTTATAATACAGAAACAGATGCATTAACACTTGCTCGACGTGTACTTTTACTTGTTGCACTTGCTCAAATATGGGATGGATATAATATTATTAATACAGGCATTGTTAAAGCTTGGTAAAATAAATGAACATATTTTTGTAATTAATTCTATGTTTTTTCTTTCTGAATTTTAGTGGCAAACAAAAACGGGGTGCTATAATTTCATTTATAGGTTTTTATTTTTGTGGTATTCCACTTGCAGCTGTACTAATGTTTTATGTTCGTACTGATATATATGGATTTTGGCTTGGAATTATAGCTGCAGAAACAATTACGAATATTCTTTTATTTATTCTTGTTCAACGTTTTAATTGGGAACATCATGCTAAAGCTGCACTTATACGTATTAATTTTAATCCAAAATCTGCTACAACTAATATTACTACTATTTCCGTAACTGATGATAAAGCTCAATCGAAAGAATCTAAGTCAACGACAGATACAGATCAAACTAGTTGGATCAAATTAATTCGAATTAAACTTATTGTTTTACTTTTATTTATTTGTTTTTTAATTGCCGGTATTATGACATCGACAATGATTCCATTTTGATGTTACACTAAAAGTTTTTTAAAAAGAGTAGATTTAATTAATATAGTCAATAAAATAGATATATTCTTTCATTTAATTTTACTTAAATTTAAAATGAAATCTATACTACATTATTTTGTTCATGTAAAATCAGACATGCATGATTTGTATGGATTGTCCAAGGAAGGGAGTGATTCCTTCACGTTCGTTTGTAATGAATAAGAAGCTGTAGACAACTCACAGCTGTGCAATGGTCCTTTTTGAAAACTACAATTCTTCGTATAAAACCGCAAATGTACTCGATTCTAGATAGTGAATCGTTGATGCATAATAAAACAAATAAAGCGTGACATAATCATATTTTATATGGGCAGGGTGTGTATCGTTATATATAATATGTGTGAATTAAAACGATGCTTGTCAATTGTAGTCATATTCATATACTTTATGTGTACAACGAAGTAACCGTATCGGATTTTATTATAAGTTTTTAATAATAAGTGAGTAGGCGATTAAATAATGTCTTTTATCAACTGATGAATTCATACTTAAATGTAATATTAATTGATTGCAATTTTAAGAATACTTTACAGAAATATAATATTTGAATTCACAACTCACTAGTTCAAATACATTTCTTTCTAGTAGGTTGTATACATAATCGAAATACTCTATAAAGTATTCAAATTTTAACAATGAGAAATATACAAATATGTTGCGAACAAAACAATATTTTGTAAAGCTCTTCACATATAAATGTACGACTGAAAAACAAGAATTATTAATTATTAAATGTAAAACAGAAATATCCAGGCACAGTTCGACCATTTAATTTATATTTACAAATGTTTTCATATGTAAACCAAACAGAGTCGCCGATTTTTTTTCTCTCATCAAATTTCACCGTAGTAGACTATATAGTTGAAAATAATACTCTATTCCGTTTTTTTTACAAGACATGAATTTTTTTCTTCGAGCAATGAAGTATAGCAATACAACTTGTACGGAATGTGAAGTGTATGTAAATAGACTTTTTTTTTCTTTATTTCTCTCAATCGTATTTTAGTAGACGATACTTTTTTTCGATCAAAAATCGATGCCAACGAAACTACAAACATACAAATATTTTACTCTTTACGTTTCGATAATCTCAGACACTGATTTATTTACTTGATGACTCGTTTTTGATTTAGTTTGTAGAGTTAAAACTATGTCGAATGATAAAACAACAACAACAACTCCACGCCTTATTCCATCAACTCGTTTTACTTTAGCTTTACTTGTTTCGTTTGCACTTTTTATTCAATATGCACAACGAATTAGTATATCAATGAGTATTGTTTGTATGGTTGATCGAAATAAATATAATACTTTATCGAATTTAACATCATATCCTGATGAAACGGACGATCAAACATCAACAGTACCAACAAAATATGGATCTCAACTTTTAAAAGATAAAAAATTTGCATGGTCTGAACTTCAACAACAAATTTTACTCGGAAGTTATTGGTTTGGTTATATATTTACTTTAGTACCAAGTAATGCTAAGAAAATAAATCTTATTTGTATTATATTTTATACGATTTCTTTTCGTTTTTCTCTTACACAGGTGGTTGGCTAGCAATCAAATTCGGCCCTAAACTAGTGTTTGCTGCTAGCCTTCTATTTAGTTCTATTGCTGCCGTGGGAATATCCAGCATATATTTTATAAATAATTTCAACTTCTATGTTGCTCTTTTCTTTCGAGTGATCATAGGTTTTGCTCATGGACCATTATTTCCAACTACCTATACGTTCTGGTCAGTATGGGCTGTTCCAGCAGAAAAAAGTACATTAACATCAATAGGATTTTGTAGTGGTAGTCTTGGCATATGTGAGTTGATGTACTGTTGTTTTTTTTATCATTAAAAATATTCTTATTTTTTCAAGCTGTCATGATGTTAACCGGTGGCCTTCTCTGTCGTTATGTTAGTTCCGGATGGGTTTATATATTTCTTTTATCTGCTCTTTTCGGTTTTATATGGCTTCCATTGTGGTTATGGTTAGTAGCTGATTCACCACAGACTCATCGAACAATTAGTGAAAATGAACGTAATTATATATGTGAAAATCTTGGTCTTGTTGTTAATGATAAAAAAAAGAAGACTTTCTCATTATCTTCTTTACCATGGATGAAATTTATTAAATCAAAACCTATTATTGCATTACTTATTACAGAATGTTGTAATTTATTTGGTCTTTTCTTTGTCTATACTAATGTTGGTAAAATATTAACTGAAATTCATCGTGTTCCTCCACAATATGCGGGATATATTTTAGCTGGCGGTTTTATTCTTATGCCAATAAGTAGCCTTTCTGCTGGTAAGAAAAAAATACAACATAATATTCGAAAATTTAATTTTTTTATTTCGAATATATAAGGTGTAATTGCTGATTTTCTTGTTAAAACAAATAAAATGTCATTGACTAATATTCGAAAATTATTTAATTCATTAACATCTTTTATTCCTGCTATCTGTATGGTTATTCTTTGTTTTTGTGATCATACACGACAAATTTTTGGCATTATAACTGTAATTATTCTTCTTATTGCTTCGGGTAAGTAAAGTAATCATCTTCATTGTCTTTATAATATGAAATGTGAGTATATTTCAGCATTGGCTTATGGTTCTGGTTATATTGTTAATTTCGGTGATGTCATACCTGCTTATTCATCAATTCTTTTTGGTATCATAACTGCAATTGCAACATTTACTGCACTTTTTGCTAATGTTATAGCAGGTGTTGTTATAAAAAGACCTGTACTTGAAGATTGGCGAAAAATTTTTATACTTTTTTCAATAGTATATTTTATTGGTGGTTTAGCTTATATTGTACTTGGTTCAGCTGTACCACGAAAATGGGCGACATTGAAAAGTCAAGAGGAACAAAAAGTGAATGATACAATTAGTGAAGAAGAAACTGTTCTTATGCGAGAATTAGAATTAGGTAAAAAATAGTGAATATAAAATTAAACATTATTTTAAAAAAATTGTGTGATAAAATTTTTTATTCAGAAATCTTTTTTATTGTCTTATTTTAAAATTTAAAAATAAAACTTTTATTATAATCATATTAATTAAATTTTTTAATGACGACACGATGAGTTATATATAAATAACTTTTCAATTTCTATAGACTTCATGTAGATGCCGCAAGATTACACAATAAGTTACACATTACGAGGCTACCATGATAGATCAATGGTTACGAGTCGACATTGTTTTTCAACATCCAGTATTTACCATTTCCGTTGTGATGTTACTAATCATGTCACATTATTATTCCTTTTTTTTGCTTATTCTTCAGATTTCATTCTATTCCACTATATAATTTTTTACGAATGGCATCAGGCGATATTCAATCAGATGAAAGTCTCTACCCAATTGCTGTTTTAATTGATGAACTTCGCAATGAAGATGTTCAAGTATATAATAGTTTTTTTCCTAAATTTTTGGATTCCTATTATTTTCTTTTCTATTTTTAAGTTACGCTTAAATAGTATAAAAAAATTATCCACTATTGCATTGGCACTCGGTGTTGACAGAACACGATCTGAACTCATTCCATTTCTTACTGGTTTGTAATATTTTTTCATTAATAATAGAAAATCGAAAGGGAAGTGTGTATTTTTTTTTATAGACACGATCTATGATGAAGATGAAGTTTTATTGGCATTAGCTGAACAATTAGGAACATTTACACAACTTGTCGGTGGTGAAAGTCATGTTCATGTTTTATTGGTATAAATAAAAAACGATGAATTTTGTTTATTTTTGATAAATATTTTGATTATTTTTTCTAGCCACCATTGGAAAGTTTGGCTCAAGTTGAAGAAACAATTGTACGTGATAAAGCTGTTGAATCACTTCGTCTATTAGCACCACAACATTCAACAACAGATTTAGAAACATATTTCGTACCAACTGTTAAACGTTTAGCACAAGGTGATTGGTTTACATCACGTACATCAGCATCAGGTCTTATATCTGTTTGTTATGCACGTGTTTCAAATCATGTTAAAGGCGAATTACGACAGTAAATTATTAATATTGAAATCGTTTTTTTTTTTCATTTGATTTTCTCTTTTCTTTTTTCAAAGATTATTTAAAAGTCTTTGTCAAGATGATACACCAATGGTACGTCGTGCAGCAGCATCGAAATTAGGTGAATTTGCTAAAGTTGTTGAAGCAGATTATTTACGTCAAGAACTTGTACCATTATTTAATAATTTGGCAAATGATGAACAAGATAGTGTACGACTTTTAGCTATTGAAGCAGGTATTGCTATGGCTGGTTTATTTCGACATGAAGATCTTGAACAACAAATGATGCAAACATTACGTGCAGCAACTGAAGATAAATCTTGGCGTGTACGATATGTTATTGCTGACAAACTTGTTGATGTAAATTATTTATTTTCATAATAAAAAATAAAAATTTCTTTTTTCTACAATTATTTTAGCTTCAAAAAGCAGTTGGTCCAGAAATAACAAAAAATGATTTAGTCACTGCTTATTGCTCGTTATTAAAAGATCCTGAAGCTGAAGTACGAGCAGCAGCAGCATCAAAATTAAAAGATTTTTGTAATAATTTACCAACTGATACACGCGAACAAGTTATTATGGCACAAATTTTACCATGTGTCAAAGATATGGTTGGTGATATGAATCAACATGTCAAATCAGCTTTAGCTTCGGTTATTATGGGTCTTTCACCTATACTTGGCAAGGATAAGTATGTATTATAATTTTAATAATTAAGAAAGAAAAGACAAGATTTTACCTTTTTTTTTACAGTACACTTGAACATCTTTTACCATTATTTCTTAATCAATTGAAAGATGATTATCCAGAAGTTCGACTTAATATTATTTCAAATCTTGATTGTATTAACGAGGTATGCTTATCTTATATAAATAAAAACTCATATTTAATTAAATTATCTCTTTTTTAGGTTATTGGAGTTCGTCAATTATCACAAAGTCTTTTACCAGCTATTGTTGAATTAGCAAATGATGCTAAATGGCGTGTTCGTCTTGGTATTATTGAATATATGCCATTATTAGCTGGTCAACTTGTATGTTATTAGAAATTATTATCTATAATTGTATTGATCAATTTGATTTTTAGGGTCCAGAATTTTTTGATGAAAAATTAAGTAGTCTTTGTATGAGTTGGCTTACTGATCATGTTTTTGCTATTCGTGAAGCCGCAACAAATAATTTAAAAAAATTAGTTGAAAAATTTGGTCGTGATTGGGCACAGAATACAGTTATACCTAAAGTTATACAATTAGCACGTGAACAAAATTATTTATATCGAATGACATGTTTATTTGCTATAAATGTAATTAAAATAAAATAAAATATTTTCTTTTTTATTTATTTTGTTCTATAATTAAGGTCTTAGCTGAACCTTGTGGTCAAGAAGTTACACAACGAATGATGTTACCAACAGTTATAACACTTGCAAGTGATCCTGTTGCTAATGTTCGATTTAATGTTGCCAAAACATTACAACGTATCTATTCAGCTATTGATCAAAGGTAAACAAATTAAGAATTATTCTTTTATAAAATATCTTTTTTGTAAATTTTAGTACATTGGGTTCACAAGTTAAACCATGTTTGGAAAAATTAAATCAAGATGCAGATCATGACGTTCAATATTTTGCTAATGAAGCTTTAGAAAGTAAGTTTAATCTATTTTATTTATAATTATGTTTAATATAAGAGAAAAAGAATCGTATATGTATATATATTCATTATGTAACTACGCATTAAATATAATTCGATATTATTGATTTTGTCTAGAAGTTATTGAAGCTTTATGAAATGAGAAATTTCATTCTATTTTGGTTTGTTAATTTTTATGTTTTAAGCTTTGTTTTATTGGAGTGTGTTTCTTTTATTTTATTTTTATTTCACTTTTTATAGAAATACTAGCAGCACGTTTTTCTCTTAATAATTATGATAAAGAAGATTCTACTCGGACTCTGGTTTGTCTTTATTTTTTGCTTCTTATGGGATATAAAGAAACTAATCTGACTCTAACATTCAATTTTTTTTTCTAATTTTCAAATAAATCACTTATTATAAAATATTTCTCTTTTTTTATTTAGTTTTGACGAAAGCCTAATTGATCAAGGACCGGACATATTTACTTTCTTTTTTATTTGTAACTCACGTTTTCTTTTTCGTTTTCTATTTCGTACTCACAATGTTGTCATATTCACATATTCCTGTGGCGTCATTAATCCTTTATATCGGTTTTCTGTAAGAAGACTTACTTTACTTTTCTTTTTTGTCGCTTTTTTCCTTTTCATAAATCAAAAAAACTTAATAAAATACTGTACTTTTTTTTTCGTCTGATTAAACAACGCGTAAATTTAAATGAAAAATAAAAACAAAAGATTATATCAGTTTGATATCTATTAGAATCAACGCTAAATTAAGGGCATGAAGTAATTCCGAAAGAAGATTGCACTATTCTTTCTATTTCTTCAGATGTCATCTAACTTTGTTGCATTAGAAGAATTATCTGAATTTCTTGATCCACAAGGTCGTCTTGATCTTAAATCACTTGCACTTCAAACATTACTTTCAATAACTGCATCGAAAGAAGGTCGTCATTTAATATTATCATTACCTAATGATGATTCTAAACCATCATTATTATCACGTGTTTGTCATTTAATATTTGAAGATGTTCAAGAATCAATTCGTTTTGATTCATTACTTTTCTTAATTAATTTAACAAGTGATAATAAATTATCAATATTAAATCATAAACAAACATCAATTACAAATGATTTTTGGTTACAATTATTGAAAGTAATAATACCAAAAACTATACAATAAACTATTGTAACAACAAATTTTCTTTTATTTTAGCGTTGTATTGATGATCGTCAATATGAACATGCTGATGCTGGATGTAAACTTCTATCGAATATAACATCACGCACGATAACAATAGATCAAATTAATGAATTTATAGATCATTTAGATAAAAATTATCCATCATGGTTTGATCATTTAATACAAGCTTTTTCTACGATTGATTATAATCTTAAAAAAAATAATCTAGATTATTTATCAGGAGTACTTGTGAATTTAACACAATCAAAAATTATTCGAGAACGTTTAAGAAGTAATGAACATTTAAAACGTTTATTATGTTTTACGGATCAAAATCATTCAACTATTCGACGAGGAAGTGTTGCTTGTATACTTAAAAATTGTTGTTTTGATCATGGTTTGTTTTTATTGAAAAGTTTTTTTTTTTAAACTTTGTTTTTTATTAGAAAGTCATGAAAAATTAATTCATGATGAGAATGATAATGATGAATTTATTTGTGCATTACTTTTACCACTTGCCGGTCCAACAGCAGATGAATTAACAGAAGAAGAAAATGAACAGTTACCAATTGATTTGCAATATTTACCAAGTACTAAACAACGTGAATCAGATCGAGATATTCAACAAATTCTTCTTGAAACAATACTTTTGGTATGACAAATTTTTCTTTTCTTTTAAAAGATTTTTGTTTTTTGTTTTAGTTATGTGCAACAAAACCGGTTCGTGCATATCTTCGTTCCAAGCAAATTTATTACATAATACGACAATACCATCAACAAGAAAATTTAGATTTTAATTCTAGTCGTACATGTGAACGAATTATTCAAATATTAATTGGTGATGAAGATTATTATGTTGAAACGGATAATCTTCTTGAATTAAATATACCGGATAATTTAAGAGAAAAATTTCAAGAAATTGATAAAAAAGAAGAAGCAGAAAATATCATTGATGAATGATTTTGTTATCAAATAAATATATTTGAATAAAAAAGAAAACAAAGATATAACGTTATAAAAAAATTGTAATTGCATATTGAAAGAAAAGATCTTATGAGTTTCAATAGTAAAAACTGATAATCAAAATGAAGTATGAATTTTCATCATCTAACAAGACTTCAGTGAAATATTTTTAATGATGTTTGTGGTGATTTGATCCAATATCATTGTTCCTCGCAGTCGGATAAACTATTATAATTTAAAATACTACAGGTACTCCTTATATCTTTGTTTACAAATGATTTCATCTTGTATGTTAACGAAAAAATTAGTGATAGATATGTTTTATTTTCTTAAAAGATCACTTCTCTATAACAAAAAAGAAAGATTTCATTAAACCTTGATTAATTTTATTTCAAATTATACAAATGAATCTACAGCTACAATAATCTCTAATGCATGAATAAATAAAGTGAAGATGTCGGTTGTAGCTAGTCTATTGAATCAGCCATAGCATTAAAAGCAGCATCTGTACCAGAAATTCCTCCAACAGTTGCACCAACAGCACCGAAACTGACCATTCCAACCACTGCTCCAACTGGTCCACCGACCATACCTGTCCAAAAACCAGTCCATGCACCCATCATAGCTCCTTCAATGGCACCGTGGACACCGTCTGGCATTTTGATAATGGTTAATAAAATGTGAAATAAGATTCAAATTGTACGAAGACACAAGCAATTGATTGTAGATAGGATTACTAAATTTACATGTCTTTATATATGTTATGAATGAACTGTGATATCTTGTTGGATATTTCCATTATAAGACAAAGACTAGATAATGGTTTTATCCATGTGTGTTCGTTCTCTTTTTGTTCATATAGATGCGTGTGTCTTTTTCTTTGTGGCTAATGTTTTTTTCCTTTTGGTTTTTTCCCCTAATACAAGGTACGATATATCATGTATATTTTCAGTTTCTGTCTTGTAATACACATCTCTTCTAAGCAGACGATATCTTTAGACAGACTACATATAAAATATCTTTTAGAGAGAAAAACGTCTACTAAATTAATTTCATGTAATAATTTCTTTTTCGTTCTTTCGTTTTATATCGGCCATCACGTTATCGTTTCTTCTCTTTCTCTATAGTTCCTTTCAGCTAAATTCATCTCGAAGCATATCAAATGATAGGAATCTTCCCACCCAAATCAACCATACCATATACAGACTCACAAACTATTCTATAACAATATTGTTGTTGTCATGTATGACTTTTAATAGTAAAATAGATTGACGAAAGTATTCGAAAAATATTTGCAAACTAAAACAAAGTGAGCTAAGAAGTTAGTTATTGATAAATAAAACAAAGATCTAATTTGACGCTGACTCTTTTTTTTAATAGGTCAAGTCAACACGAATAATATATGAAAATCAATTCAAAAAAGAAAGAAATATCAAAAATACGTATGTGAAGAGAGAAAAAAAAGAAAAAGTAAATGAATTTTACAGGAATAGGTTTCAATGATGCAAAATCTTTCAAATATGTTTGATTCCTTATCAAGCGATTACGAATGTCTTTATAACGAGTTAGTGCCTCTTCATATATGACTATTTAAAGAGTCAAATAATTCATGCAACAACAAAGAGATGATTGAATCGGAATAGTCACTAATTGATTAATGATCATGATTAAAAAACTGAATCATATGATGTTATCTTTTACATTCACCAAGTTCTATCATTTATGTTTTATTTGCGTTGTGTACTATTTCATCTGCTAGTACACTATGAAATCCCAAACATCTATAAAGAAAAGCGAAAAATATAAAAAGGAAAAATAAGAAAAACGTGTGAGGTGTGGCTGTGTGTCTGCTTTGATCAAATCAATAATATACCCACACCCACACCCTAATGAACAACATTATTTATTGGATAATAAACAGGCAGTGGTAATTCAATTTTCTTGCTGAGTAGAAGATCAATATGATATAAATAATATCTAAATTTTAAAACAAAAATAATAATGAAGTCTATTTTTTCCATTTTCATCTAAAATTCTTTCATTAATTAAAACGTAGTATAATATTATTTTTGATAGACCTTGAACAGTTGCATGTGAAGTTATGTAAAAATTAATTTCATTTGGTGCAACAATATCTGTATTAATAACTGTACCTAGAATAAAAAACCAAATATTCGTCGAATAAGAATATCGAAAAAAGATATTTAACCTGGGGGTATGTTGGCAGCTTGTTGTAGTGTTTTATTCCAAGTAAAAAAACGTGAGCCATGTTTTTTTTTATTTCAATAAATGAAATTCGTGGAATTTTATTGATTCCGTATATATCTGTAGAAAAAAAAACAACAACAATTGTTTATTTAGTGTTATTGTTGAACAATTATATTTACGTGTGCAACATTGTTTGATAATGTTCAATTCACTATCTAATCGATTTCCAACATCAATTTTATAAAACACGAGTTTATTTGGAAGCTGTCGATTATGTTCAAAATATTCCAATATTAATTCAGCAAATTTTGTATGAAGATCTTTCATATACAAATTGATAGATTTTTCTCTTGCTTGTATTGGTTTCAAAATACGGATCGAGTATTCTAAACGCATAGAAACACATGATCCTGTGATAAATGGTATTGTTAATTTTTCCGATAAAATTATAGTATTAGTACTACCAAGACCAAAAAACATAAAAGAATCTGACGGAGATGTTGGCGAGTTAATTGGCGTTAGTGGTATTAGTTGATGGGAATTATCTAATTTGGTATTCAATTTTTCAACGATATTCTTGAAAAACATTTCTAATTAGATTTAGAAAAACAGAACAAATGAAACAAATTTACTTTAATCAATTTTTTCATATGCCAGGTCTAACAATTCGGCCCAGAAACGGCCGGTTCCGTGATATTTCGAAGATTTCATAGAAGCAGTATTACCATTGAACGGATTTGTTCAGTTTCACTCGGAACCGAGCCCATGGTCGAATTCTTGCAATTTCTCGGCAGAGTTTCTGCTGAAAGCGGTGAAGTTTGTGAAGGCTTTCGTCAGAAATTCATGGACTACTGCTTTAGGAATCATCGACCTGGGGAATATTTTATGTACCGATCAATTTTTTTCTTACAATTGAATAATGTAATGATGATGAAGGAATACGAAGTTTGTTTACGATACATTTAATCGTTGTTAGATATTCATCATTAGTTGGATAACTAAATGGAAAGAGACAAAAATATGAAAATTATTTTTATAAACAATGACTTACAGTAGTTCATGAGACTTTGTAATATCATCATAAAGTAACGATAATAATTCACTTTGCATCTTTGTGTGTGGATTAAATTTTGAGATATTATGCTGTTCAATATACCTAGGCCGATCATTACGACCATATATCTCCGTAATTGTGTACGGAGAATTACGATAAAAAAAGGCAGCTGCATACGAACCGTATATAGCATACGTTTTGATATGTACGACGTCGTATATAGCTGTAAACGATCGCATCTTTTCGTACAAAGTCATATTTTGACCAAACATCATATGATCGCGATCTGTTGCCTCTATTCGTTATTCATCTCTTATTGTCGAGTACTTCTGTTAAAAAATGTAATCTAAAATAAAAGTGGATAAAAATAAATTAAAAAAATAACTATATTGACTATTCGTTAGCGCTTACACAATAATCTAAAGTAAGAAATAAATTAAATAAAAAACATACTTACTCTTCCTCGTAGTAGGGTGCGGGTGATGTTGAGGGTGGGTGTGCGTATTAGCATTAGAAAAACACCCACACTCACACCCTGGGAATAACATAGATATGATCTGAATAAATACTGGTCATGCAACATTCCGATTGTCTTTAATGCAGATACCGAGTATCTTCGTTGGAACACTTGGGCAGAAACCAACTCATTTTGAGAGAAGGTGTGGATGTAAGTGACAGTGCGACTAAGGGTGAAGAGAATAACCATACTTTAACATCCTCACCCACTCTACCATCAAGATCGTATTTAATGTTCTTAAATTCGTTACATGAGGATGAGTGGTATCCCATGCCATCAAAATCGGGAAAAAATCAACGATCTAATCGCGATTTAATAGACGATTATTTTTCGGAAAATTGCGATAAAATCGTGCGACGTGACGATTATTTTTGGGTGAAAATATAGTCATCATAAATGACAGAATTTTAATGAACTAGATAATTCAACATCATTTTATACTGTACTGTCTATGTCACCAAAAATCCTGAAAAAATTGACGATTTTATCGCGATGTAGAAGCCGATTAATTGTGAGATCTATCGCGATAAAATCGCCAAAAGTAAGGGTTTTTGCCGATTTTTTTGTCGAAAACTCGGGATTCGTAATGATTTTGACAAAATAAGCATTTCTTACTGGCGATATAATCGCCAATATTTTGAAAAATCGTGATTCACCGCCTAAACCTTGGCGATTCTGAAGACATGGGATGTGAATGGAGAGCAGGGAACTGCAATCGGGTTTATAATAGATTAGCTATTTACAAACACATCTTTTAAGATATAGTATATAAAAACAAGATAAAAACTTAGTTTTATTGAACGTTATATTTAATAAGCGCTTGATAGCTAAAGTCTTCTCCGTATTTAGCATAGATAGTTACTTCTTTGGAACCAACAGTTACCGTTCTTTTGTAAAAGGGATCCTCGTATCCTCCTCCGTTTGCCCATTTCGAATCAATTGTCAAATTAACATCTTTGGCACCTGGAATAAAACAATGAATTGATATTGTTGTATCCTTCTTAACAAGTCCATTTATAGGTTCATAAATTCGGCCTTTGATAACTTGAAAACTTGGATATATCGTAGGAAACTTTATTGGTTGTTTGAGTTGTGTGATATTAAGATCAAATTTGAGAGCACATTTTGAGTTTGATTCACTATAACGGTTTGCGAAAACTATTAGTTCATGTTGACCAATACATTGAGGTGCAAATAGTAATTGCCATAATCTCTTGTCACTATCAAATTCAGCTAATGCTCCATTTTCCACTACAACATCATTATAATGAATTGCACATGAAAGCTGGACATCATCAGGTGTTTGGATGAAACTTTCCACATATGAAGCATCCGTTGGCCAAATTACTGTTGAACAATTCTTTGGTACTTCTATCTCTAAATTAAGATCATGAAATACTTGCCAAGTTTTCGGGAAGGATAATGGCGTAGCTGGAATTTGTGATGCTTCAGTTTTGAATGATACTAAATGCGAATAATTACCAGTATTCGCTTTCTTCTTTCCAAAAATGTATGCCTTATATAAACCATTTCGATTAGGTGCGAATTTGCATTTCCATAAACTTTTTCGTTGGTCATAATAAACTTGGCATCCATTCATAACTCTTTCCCCGCTGCTGTTATCGAGACCACCACTTAATTCAACATCACTAGGTGCTCGAATAATAATGGATCCGTAAGTAGCTCCATCACATACTTTGATTAAATGAGTGTTGAGTGGCGAAATAATCTTTATATTTAAATCATAAAACTCTTTCGATGTTGTTGGATAACTCACACGATTTAAAGGTAGTTCAACAATATTTAATGTAAAACTGAGTGCCTGTTTGCCTGACTTCATATCTAGTTCGATTCTTTTCGCAAAAATATCTATTTTATGTCTACCAATACTAGCTGGAGAAAAGTAACAACAATATAATTGCTTACTTTTATCGAATATAATACGAGAACCACCATCGACTTCGTTTTCATATAACTCAAAGGTGGTTGAAACATCGATATCAGATGGAGCTCGTATAAGTATTAATGCGTGCGATTTACCATGAACAAGTGTAGCATGAGCTTGATGGCGTGGACTAACTATTTCTAAATTAAATATAAAATAAGCTGGATGAACTGTTGGCATTTGCGTATATTGTGTCATTTTGATCGGTTGCCGTAAAAGTTGCCATTTATCATTTTCAGGCAAATGACTATAGATAAGTTGATCAGGACGAGTGAGAAAATAGAAAGTATCTAATTCTCGATTAAAAATATCTTGCTCATTTAAATGTCCAGTACCCCATGTAGCATCCAATGGATACCAATATCTTCCAATTTCAACCACATTCCATGCATGATCCGTCTTTAAAAATGCAGTTTCTTCACGAACAGCAAATCCATAACCTTTTGCATATCCACTTATTTCTTCACATTTCAAAGCTAATTGATCACATAAAGATTTATATAAACGACTAAATCCAGCACATACACCCTTTCTTGTACGAAAAACTGATTCTGCTGATTGATCTTGAATATTATTATTCAGGAAGGAAACAGCGTCATATTCGATATTACAAGCAATCCAATAAAAAATCATCCAATGACGATCAAGTAATAGTTTGTCTTTTGATATATCTCGAATAAATTCAACTAATTGGTGAAGAGATTCTGGATGCCAGGATTCAATAGTTCTTCGATACGAAGAATTATCGATAGCATCTTGACGTTGTTTTAAGAATAAGTCATTAAAACCTTCAGGATCAGCATTAATAATTTCAACATAATCACTATCGACTGCGGGAAGTACATTGATTAATGTTTCAATTTCCAACATATTTGTTATATCACTTTGATTATTCTCATTAAAAAAAGATAATGTGTTTCTGTTAGATGTTGCCGAATCGATCTGTTGCTGATATCGACCATCTAATTTAAAAAAAAAGAATATTAATCATTAGAAAAATCAAGTATTTTTCACTACTGTCAGCCAATACTGAATGATTATTCGAAGTAGTAGAATTAATTCGTGGTGAAAGATGATTAGTTGTTGTTTCATTGGGAGATGCTTGCGCAGAAACTGACAGTGGATCATTCGAAACAGTAAAAACAGATTGATCTATGGTATTTTGTAAATTGTTGATAAGAGCAGTTGATTCGGAGTGGTCTGTTTGATTATGAACTGCATTACGTGCTGAGCAGTCTGAAGCCTTTTTGGGTGAAATAACTTTATGAAAATGAGATTTCGAAACTCCACAGCCCATTGCTTTTCTTTTCGAGCACTTTCAAAAGTAAATATTTTTCGTCTCAGTTTACTCTACTTGTATTTATATATATAAAATTTTTTGCATGAGGTGGAAAAAACCAAGAAAGAAGTAGAAATGAGTCTTACCATAGTAAGAAATTAATCATTCTACTTAGTTTCTATTTAGAAAAGGGACACAGATGTTGATAGTATTGTTTTTATGATTCAAACTACCTTCTTTTCACAAGAAAAAGAATTAAAAATGGAAGAAAAATATTTCCAACATAGCTGTTATTGCTTAGTTACGTTAAACAATGTCTTTTCAATTGTGAGGCATGTCGAAGAAAATATGTTTAAGGTTTATCAATATATATTTGACACAGCCAATGAAACTAGTTTTTGTTCCAAGTATATGTATCGGAATTTGATAACATATTGAATTTTTCATCAAAATAGTTCGCATAGCGTATTTTAACTTGAAAATAATGTAATGAGAAATTCAAAATAATTTTTCTAATGATCCATGGGAGCAAAATAATAAAATTATTGTGATTATACTCCAGTTTTCAGAACGATTTCAATGTAGATGACAGTAAGCTTTACTCTTTTCTATCATCAGAAGATAAAAATGCATCGAAGTTTATTTTTTATAAAACAATTCAATATTATCTGTTAAAATTGGGAAATAAGGTTTATTATCAATGATTGATTTTATCGCATCTAACAATGGACGTGTCTGTGTTGTAAGTTAAAAAGACTAGATGTTTTTACACCAAAACAAAAGCTCCTGTCAGTAAACCAAGAAGGTTAAAATATTAACTGCTGTTGGCGCATCCTTAGAGAGATATTCAATTTTACGGTATTCATAGTTCAGGCATATAAATACCTTAGAATTATTTACCTTAATTTTTTATGCAGTCAAATGAAGGTTTTAATAGTAGGTTACAAGAATCTTTTTGAAATTTATTAATAATGCTAATATCACTTTAGTTTCAATGTGTTCTGGGGTGTAAATGTGGTGTAGGTGTACATACGAAAACAAGTGAATACCCCCCCCCCCCACACACCCTCAAGATTTATTTATTATAATCATGGAGTAAATATATTCTATCGCCTAGTAAATATAAAAATATTTTCATTAAAAGAATAGATAGTATTGACATAAATGATAATAATCGATCAGCTGATGTAATGTCATATAGTTTTTTCATTTAAAATTATAATTATTATCTAATTTCTATCTTCTTCACCAGGGTGTGGGTGACTGTTAGCGTTCTTTCTATTCCACGCCCACGCCCACACCCTTTTATAAAAAG